AAAAGTAATTAACGAATATCTCTTGAACGATATGAGCAAAAAAAAAATTCGAAAACTTTTGTCTTACTATCATCTAGAGATTTTTAAACAAGAATTTGTATCGTTTAGAATTAGTTTCGAATTTCTCATTCGGTTATAAGAGTATTTATTCGTTTTTTTTTATTTACAATTCCATCACGTCACTAATGCTAGATTTTTTACTGATAACTTCTTTGAATAAAATTTTCAGCATATCTAAAGTAACTTAACATACATCTAACATATAAAAATTAGCTCTAGAAAAATTCATTATTCCGAGATAGATACGTCGTTAATGAATGAAATCGAATGTATTTTTATTTTCGAGAATGTATGTATATACAAAAAACTCTTGTTTTTATTTCTATCTTACTTTCAATGCTTCAGTAACCATTAATGGACCAAGATCCGATCCTCCAATACCAATATTAACAACATCTGTAATAGATTTTCCTGTATAACCTTTCCATTGTCCATTACGAATTGTTTCAGAAAATGTTTTCATTTGTTCTAAAACTCGATGAACATCAGGTAAAACATTTTTACCATCAACTAAAACTTCTTTTCCATCTTTTGGTGTACGTAAAACAGTATGTAAAACAGCACGTTTTTCAGTAAAATTAATTATATCTCCACTAAACATTTTTGTTCGTTGTTCTTCAATCTTACATTCTCGACATAATGCAAATAATTCACGTAAAATTTCATCATTAATTAAATTTTTTGAATAATCAAATAATAATAGTCCATCCGTTGTAGTAATTTCTAATGTATAATGTTGAAAACGTTTTTCATCATTAGAAAATAATTGTCGAAGATTAAGATTAATTCCAACAGTATCATAAAGTTTTTTTAAATTTTTCCATGCATTTGTTTGTACTAAACTTGACATATTTGTTAGTTATCTACAATAATCAGCACTTGATTTTTTTGTTTTTTGATAAGATTAACTAAATTTTTTGTTTTTTGTTTAAACAATTTATATTTATTTTCAAATACAAACAAATGAGATTAATGGTCGAAAATATATCTGACCAAAAAGAAGAAAACACATTACACAGAGGAGGGGAGGGAGGGGGAGGGAGGCAGAAAGAATATAAAACAAAGATTTGTCTTTTCCTTTTTTTCTTTTTCAAGTTATCTGACAAGACTTATTTTTGCGACTTTACATGCTGTTTCAATAAGGACATTTATTTTTTCGAAATTATAATTATGACCATATAAATTAAGTGTTGAATGTAACCAACGAGAATGTTCATCTGTAAGATGATTATCGGTTGAAGTAAATATTGTATGTATAAGTGATAAAGTAAATTGAAATAAGGATGATGATTGAGCTTGTAAATGTGTAACAAGTTGTTTTGATGGTGGTGTCCATTTAATAACTGTTGTTGTTGTTGTTGTTGTTGTTGTTGTATTACTTGGTTGAGAACATGATGAACGAAGACGTTTTGCTATATGTCGTTCATCATTTTCATCGATCGAACGTTTATCATTAGTAGATGGTATTATGGAATTTGTCGAAGGTATAGGGTCGGATGATGTTGAGGGTGGATGAACATTTTCTGTATTATCCATTGTTCCATTTAGACTTGTTGATGGTTGAGCTGAAGAAAAAACAAGATAAAAAATCTTTGCTAAATTAATGAAAAAAAACGAGTATTGGAGAATTTTTTTGTTAGATGTGATATGAAGATATTCTGGAATGGTTTTTTTCTAGATCGGAACTGAAAAAACTTGATCGCGTGCATCTATATTTCAGATACGATCATCGTATTTCTGATTTTTTTTTCCAAAGTTTTCTGATCGGAATCGAGCACTGGAATCATTGATCTGAGATGTCGCGTAGAAAGCGATTAGAAGAGTTTAAATCTTGTATATTTCACATTTTCTACTAAAGGATAAATAATTAAAAATAGACAGAGGTTAAAATGTACAAAAATATGTGGAAGGAAAGTTTTTGCTACATTTTATGATGAATGAAAGCAAATTTCAATATTGTTATTTGGATAATAAGTAGACTTATTAAAGACGATTTCATTGGATATAATTTCTATACTTTTCAAATTTTATTTTCGAGTACTGAAAGTCTACATAGGATTTTCAGTAATCTATCGATGTTTGTATGAGAATGAAACAATAATTGATAGTGCATTATTTTCATTTAAAAAATTGTCAAAGTATCTATTTATTAAATCATAATCTACAAGTCCATTCTTTACTTCGAGAATTTTTCGATTTAACTATTCTCGAATTTAGTGTTTTCTTAAATGAAGTCTAATTAACGGACAACTAAAGATGATGAAGAATAAACAGTTATTGCTCTTTTAATAGTTTAATAATTGTAATAGATGACACTATTAGAAATGAAATACTGTATTATTGCCACAAATATCTTTTCGAAGTAGTGATTTCTTTGAAAAAATACAGATTTGAAATTTATGTTCAATTATTTTCAGGTAACGACGGAGATATCCAAAGTGTTCAGCTTCTTTTCGACTCATTCATACCCAGAGGTATCTGCAAAGTGATTTCGATATATTTTTTGTTTAAGAACTAGACTATATATTGTCATACTTATTATTTTGTTCTAACTATAAATCGACCATTTTTTATGATTGTGATAAAAGCATAGATCTACAATATCACTTTTTTCGATCCTGCACCAAAACTGAAACCATCTTAGAGGTTCCTACTAAAAATAGTACCTATACTTCCACATATTCCAAATTTTGATACTATCAAAGTGATTCTTGAAGAAACATCAATTAAAGATCACTGATTTACATTTTTTTATCTATGTAAGAACTATAAACTCTGAGAGAGAATTTTCTAAGTCACACAATCAAAACCAAGGAAAATTTTGAGTGAGACAAAACAAAGAGTTTTGGTATTTCCTTAGCTCTAATGCATGCATATAAAGGTATGCTCATACTATTAATTTCTCAAAATCATTAGTATTAATTTTATATGTATTCAAAGAACCATACAGATTATCAAAAAAACAAAACGTTTTTGCTAGAAACGAAATCAGGACTAGAAGCAATAAAAAGGCCGAAAATGGAAGTGAACATCTCCGATAAGAAATCGTTATTCATCTTATTCCTATATTTGACATAATATTGATTGGTTTTTTAAAAAAAAAATAATTTCTAATGCATACAATCGGTAGTTTGTTGAACATGATTTTTCATTTTAAGAATTTGTGATAAATTAGCTGATGTTATTTGTTCTTTAAATTGACTAATAACATTTAATAAATGATTAAGTTGATCAACAATTTCATCATTATTTGTTGTTATTGATTGATTTAATTCTGTTGATAAATGATTAAATGATTGAATAATTTTTTTCGAATTTTTTTTTGGTGTTAATTTAATTGTATTTTTCTTTTTATTATTAGTATTATTATCATTATCATTATTATTATTATTATTATTATTATTATTATTATGAAATTTTATTTCTATATTTGCTTGTTGAAATGCTTGTTGACATTTATATTCATATGTATGATATTCATCATTTTCATCATCATCACATTTTTCTGTTATTATTTGTAACCATATTTGTTGAAAATAATATTTTATATTTTTAACTGTACAATTTAAACTTTTTAATACATGTGTACGTTGTTCATCTAATAATTTTTTTTTCCATAATTCACTCATTAAATTTGTTGAACGATTATTTCGTACACGTCGTTCAAATAAATAACGAAATGGTAATGTACGTGTATATGGATAACCATATGGATAGATTTGATATTTTTCTAATGATGATAAAACCATTGGTGATAGAATAGGTAAACGTGAACAAAAAACGAGAACAATTGGTGAATGATCTAACAAATAAAAACAAAAATATTACATTTAATTTTCAATTTAAAATATAATCAAATTACTTTTTTGATTAAGATTATTTTCAATCCATGAAAGAAATATTTGTGGTGTTAAATGACCTAATTCATTATATGAATCTTGTTCATTTGTTAATGTATTATCACGAAGTGAAATCGGAAATATAAAATATGGTTCAATTGATTGACCACTATTAGAAAATGCATAGATAACAGTTACTTTTGGTGTTAAATTCATTGGACGTAATTCATTCCATTCGGGTAATTGAAGTACAGTTGATTTTTTAGTTAATGGAAATTCAAATGTATCAATTGTCCATAATTGTGTCTAGAAATATGAATTTTTTTTTTTTTTTTTTTTTTTTTGTAATAGAATTTTGTTTTAATTAATAAAACGAAGAAGAAATTTAATTCGTATAGATCTTAAAAATTTATAGGTTCGATTTTCAGAAACTTCCATTGTCTTATTAAAAAATAAAGAATCACATATCTCTCTCGTGTCATAGATAGGATGCTTCAATCCGCTATAATCTTGAAGTACGGGGAAGCCTTCATTATCTGGGATGATCTCTTCTCTATCGATGATTGTGAAAATTTTCAAGACAAATGATTAAAATTAACCGAAGATATCGGTCACTTTTCGACAATTCCAATTAATTCTCATGTATTGAATAAGAGATCTTACGCCATGAGATTTGTTTTCTATGTTGACATATCTTCTTCTGAAAAAAAATCTATATGAATTTTCTAGTTCCCCTCCACATGAAGATCGATCAAAGTTCAAAAGACATGTTCTATTTGTAGTCAAACTATGAGAGTAGATTTATCTTACTTTTTCATTATTTAATTTATTATCAATAAGATATTGTTGAAAATCATCATGCCATTGATCATGATCAATAATAGATTCATTATCAAATTGAATTTGATGAATATCTTCAAATGCTCGCCAAAAAATACCTGGTGATTGTAAATCACAACTTCTTATTGAACCAATATTTCCATTACCACATATATTCATTGAACGTTTACGTGTTATTATACCAGTTAATTGATAAATTTCTCTTAAAAATAATTGTTTAGCACATGGCCAATAATATAATGAACGTAAATGACGTAACCAATCAACAGTTGATTGTGATTGCATAAATGTATTTAATTGTACTAGACGTGAACCAGTCATTAAAGATGAATTTGATTTATATGAAAGACAATATTTTAAATAATCTAATTTTATACCACCTAAAAATTTACTTGCACGTAATATTGATAATTGTCGTTGAATAACATATAATAATATTTGTTCCGGAGTTGATTCACTAGGTGGATCAGTCATCATTGTTGATGAAGATAATTTTCCTTTACTACCTAGAAAAAAAAAACAACAACATAGTATATAGATTAGGCTTGATTTACTTGTTATACTTTTTTTTTTAATCTATTCATTGGTAAATATTATTTCTTACTTTTGATTAGAGGCACGAATATTATTAATTTCATATCTCTCAAAGAAGCATTTATTTCGAAACAAACTTCTACATGAAAAAATTCTTAGGTTAAAAAAAAAACATGATTGATAACACATATCCAGACAAGATTTTTCTCGAACTAAAATTTATCTTTCAAAAAATGAACGTAGCAAAATTTTAGAAATACTATCCAATATTTTGATTATATCTTAAAATCGGTTGTATACTTCATTGTACAAGACTAAGATAGCTGAAATAAAGATCTATATCAGTGATCTTCCTTTTCGGATATATAAATTGCATAGAGAGAGAGAGATATTGCAAGCAGCATCGCAGAATATCGCCGATGGCCAAATCATCGAAAGTATCGCCGTCGAAATTTGGCAATCTACACTTCTGCGATATGATTTTCAGTGAAGTACGTACTGATCTTAATATCAGTATTTTATATCGGTTGTATTTTTACCAGAGAAACAGTTTAGAAGTCCGACAGAACTAAGGTAGTCTTAATGGTGAATAAAACATTGTTCTGTTTAATAAACGATATGCTTTGATTATCGCCAT